TTTGGAGCAGCAAAAGTGGCTTTTGGAGCAACCAAAACAGCATTTCGGTGCAGAAAAGGTGGCTTCTGGAGCAGATATTCTTAGAAAAACAAATATATGTTTTAAGTGCTGGACAAACGAAGGGCACTTTGTGTTGTGATGTGTTCTGATGGGACGTGTTGTGACGGAACTCGCTGCTTTTGTTTTACAGCCGAGACATCCCACAAGTATACAGTGCTGTAAGCGTTGCCGAGCAAATGCAAATGCAAATGAAAAAAAAAAAAAAAAAAAAACCTTTGCCATTGTTTTATTGGTTTCTGACGTGCCAGAGTTTTATAAAAAGTAAGAAAACGTAAAACGATGGACTGCAAGCGTCCCGGCTGGTGCCTCTATCGTGCAATCATGTTCGCATGCAGGTAAGGGCAACTTCGACAGGCTTGCAGTTGCACATGCTTCGTCGCGCGAGCGAAGGCAACGGCTGTTCAATCGAAACCGAAGCCATGCCACTCCGCTCCCTCGCTACCTGGTTCCCAAAATAGTATGCAAAATGTAATTGTCGAGCACACGACAATAAACAGTCCAGCGGAACATGCTTGCCAAGCCGGCACCGATGTACCGGCTAAAAACACAGAAAAAAAGAACCTGATTACATTCCTAACGAGCGTGTTGGTAAGATGTACTAGATAACAGAAAGTATAAAACAGAGAGAGGACGAAAGACAGACCAGTACATTCTTTCCTGAGCGCATCGATATAAGACATCGCGAGCCAGAGTCAAAAAGTTCTTGAAACGCTTTGTGCAACGACTGAACTCGTGAAAAACAAGCGCGATGTGCGGGTTCAGTGTGCAGACATTGCCTTTTTTGCTTTAGCTCACTTCTCTTCATCAACTTCCTTTCGCGGCATATTTTTCACGTACCGGGGTCCCTCTCGAAAGAAAGCCCACCGAGAGAAATCTAAATAATCAATACTTCGCAAAGCAGCCTTAGAGTTAAATAGGGATTTTTGTAGCAGTGTATGATTTAAACAAGAACAAGAATGTCGACGCGTTTCAGTTTAGAAAGCGCCATATCTGCAGCGATGTGGGGACGGCAACACACAACGTCGCGCGACCACAGCGACTGTGGTTGCGCGAGCGCTCCAACTCACAAAGTGACCCTCGCCGTGCAAAAAGGTGGTTTTGATGGTTTTGTTTCACAGCATGACGGCATGTCCGGCACACTAAAGTCGGACCGTCCGCGCACGCCCGCGTCTATCGTTGATAGATATATATATATATATATATATATATATATATATATATATATTTTTTTTTTTTTTTTAAATGCGAGAGGCGAGACGAGATGCTTGAGACGACGAGAGCGCGAAACGCGAGACGGCGGGAAAAACCGTGCAAGACCGGATAGACGATTGATGCAGGGTACGTAGTTCGATGTGTCGGGAGGCCGCTTGCGCCACCTAGCTCACGCATGCTCAATTATAGTTCTCAGTATAGTTTCGGTTTTGAAAGGCGACCAAAATTGGCCCTTTGGCGCAGATTACCCATATTTTGGCAAAATGTAGCAGGATGTAGCAGGGTTAGCCCCTTGGCGCAGTTTGGCGCAATTGGCGCAGCAATCACATCACTGCACACAACCCCGATCGAGCAGTTGCCCCCTTTCTTAAATCTAGGCTCTCTATGCCGACGAAACACAAACTTGAGTGCGAACTCGGTGCCGTGCACGCTTTGTTTGCTTCGTGTTCCGTGCCGGCGTCGCTAGTCGGTATGGTGCCTCCTGCGCGAAAGTCTAACTTCGCTCAAGCACCGATTCGGCAAATCATCACCACTCAATGATGAAGGGTCCCAGCACTGCCGGCACCTTGACAGGCAAGACGAAGGCAATCTCCTTGAAACAAAAAGTGTACCGCCATCCTTGACAAAGTGCGCACCGACGTAAAGGATGCAGTCTACCGCCAGCATCCTTTTCCGCGGCGGCCGTCCAAATTCTTGAGGGGTTCTGGACGCGATTCGTACGTAGCTTGCGGGATTGTCTTTCAATCGAAGCTTCTTGCAGTTTGCGAGAAGCGGCTCCAACCTAGCAGAGAGTGCGTGCAGGAAAGCCCCGACCACTTTCTGCAGGCACAATAAACATGCCCATAACAGCCCGTGTTGCCGTTTTTTTTTGCATTACTTTTATAGAGTTCAGACTAACGAAGAGGCGGATATAGCAAAATGGTTCCACTTCCAGATTCCCGTCGACTTCGTTATAACCAGTGTCGACAGTCCCGTCCTTAATGTAACGAAGTCAACGGGACGGCGAAAAATTTGATGTAAGTAATAATTCAATAAAAGTGACAGAGCCAAAAAACAGCACCAGCAGCCTTCCAGGTAGACGGAAACACTGAGGAACACTTTAATCATATATTTAATCAAACAAACCTTGGTTATGAACAACAAGCAGCAGCTTCACCGAGTAAAAAAAAAAATTAAGTGGAGTTTGCCTATGATTTTATCCGGGCATCAGTTCTCCTCGAAATGCTCCAGGCATCGCAAGGACACTGTCACCGTCGCTGCACTCCCTTGCTTAGAAGTAGCCGTAAGATGTTTCGTGTCTCCGCAGTCATCAGTGTTTCCCAAAGTGCCTTTCCCACGTCGCTTCATGTTTACCCTGGTTGCACGCAAGGTTTACGACCGCAGCATCCGTGGCAGGAGCAACAACGAGAACGTCCGCACCGACAAGCACAAACAAATAAATCATCCTCGGTGGCTTCACCCACATGTTTTCACATCACTCCTGTAGAGATCGTTGCAATTCTCGGAATCGTGCCCTGGCTCAGCAAGCACGTTCGCAAGAAAAAACCTGACGTGCGCAAGGCAGCTGGTGATCTTTCACCTCCATGTCTCGGGCGCACTTTCTCGTGCATGAGAAACTTCTCGAACCCGTCTAGTATGCTTTGCTTGTTCCGTAAAACGGTGGACAGTGTCAAGCAGCCGATGCTGGAACGTCAAATTCTTTGGAGATTTTGGATTGGGCTGGAAACTTTTCTCAACTTCGCAGATCTAAGCGGCTTTCGGTAAACACTACCAGTCCCAATTGATGCACGTGTGCGTGTAACGTGTGTACGTCACAGGTGTGCCTGTGCAGGCAGGCATGTCGAGGCTCCTGAAAGGATGATCCCCTCCGGGCCCCTCCACTCCCTTGAGGCAATTCCGAAGGAGTCGGGCAGCACCGGCCGCAGGTGCCGTGAGTAGCGTCGTAACGTGGACGCTGCTACCTGCCTGCGTCGGCGCATCGGAAGTGGCACACTGCCCTCCGTCACACGTTTGTTCCATTTACTTGTTTGCCGTTTTCCCAGTTTGCCGTTGGCATCAATGGAGAAGGCGGACAGAACGCAAGGGTCCGTGTGCCTCTGTGTAGGTTCGCGTGCTTTCGGCACCGCGGACTACGTAAAAAGCATGGTTGGCCGCCTATATACTTTGAATAATCCAGTTCAAAATGCGCACATTTTGGTCAGGACCACGTTGAACTTCAATAAAAGCAATGATTTGAAAAGAGTGATTTCGTTACGAGGGATTACTGAATATGTAAAACCGCTATGCCACTTTTAATAAAACTTTGCACCGAAGTGCTTTGTGGCAATTCAGAAACAACTTAAAAAAATTCACACTATATGTTCATTAGAAATTGTATCGGCATTTCAGGGGTTAAGCTAATCTCGGCGCAGGTGTCACTCAATTCTTAGTGGAAATGGCATTTTGGCGCAAGACATAGTACTATCGGAAACAATATGAACGTGAACGCGCCTCCACGTGTCGCCGCTAACTGAGGCGCCGCCCTGCGGCGCCGTTGTGAAGTTTTGCGCATGTGTGTAGAAATCCTGTCGCCGTTCTCGCTTTAATTGTCAACCCCCGTCTGTCGTCTGCTATGCGCGCGCTGGCGGCCGCTCGTGCTGTCGTCTGCTATGCGACTCGTGTATTTCCGTCACAACTCAGACAAACGACTTAACATGATTCACGAGTTTCCTGTGCGATAACGCAATGTCCACATTTGATACGTGATAAATAGCTGGCTTCTTTTATTGGGTCGAGATACAGCGACAACAGACAAATGGAATAAAGATAAAATATCTGCAAAGCTTAGCGTTCAACTACGGTGAGCCCGGAAAACATTCAGTTGAGTGAAAAATGGCTAGAGTTCCTGACGACGAACGGATCAACATAGTTGAGCTGTCCCTCCGAGCTATATGCTGGATATCGCCCTCTCAGAGGGCTATATCCAGCATGATTGGAAGACCGCTGAAAATGGTGAACCGGATAATACAAGCATATAGGGACGAGCTGTCCAGGGCAAACACAACTCGCGTAGAAAGCGCGTGCGTCCGCCGGAGCACGCAATGTTGTGCGGCAAACAACAACACGAGCGGGCGCCAGCGCGAACACGAGTCGCATAGGAGACGACAGCGTGAGTGGCCGCCAGCGCACACAGGAGTCGCATAGCAGACGCCAGCACGAGCGGACGCCGGCGTGAACACGAGTCGCATAGGAGACAACGGCGTGAGCGGCCGCCAGCGCGCACAGGGGTCAAATAGCAGACGACAGCACGAGCGGCCGCCAGCACGCGCATAGCAGCCGACAGACGGGGCTTGACAGTCAAAGCGGGAACAGCGACAGGATTTCTACACGCATGCGCAAAACTTCACAACGGCGCCGCAGGGCGGCGCCTCAGGTAGCGGCGACACGCGGAGGCGCGTTCACACTCATATTGTTTCCGATAGTACATATTCATTCGTTGCAAAATTTGGCACAAATGGCACAGCACTCCCATCACTGCCAGATTCTATCCAAAGAAGGCCGAGTCTGGCTCTACCTCCGCAATTTCAAGCTTTTTAAGGCCCCAACTTCCCCCCCCCCCCCCAAAAAAAAAAAAGAATTTTGACCCAAAGAACTGCGCTACCTGAACCGTAGCCATTCTTCTGACTCGACCGAATTCGCAGGAAGCCACCAAAGAGCCCGAGAGCGACGAAGAGAACAGAGAGGCGCACCTTGTCCACGCTGATCTTGAGGAAGCGGGTCTCCAGGTGCTTCTTGGCCAGGATGTCCAGGTGCTTGTCGACGATCTTGCAGCGGAAGGTGCTGCCCCGGTAGAAGTGCACGACGACGTTCTCGCTGCGCTTGCACGCCTCGAAGAACTCGGGCTCCGAGGAGAGCTCCGAGTACTCCCCGTGGCCCTTGGACAGCCAGTCCCGCTTCTTCTTCTCCAGCCGCTTCATGGCATCCAGGCGCCTCTGACGTAGGCCTGGGTGGAGAAGGGCGGTCGGTCCACGGAAGCACGCGTTCAAATTCTAATGCACGCCAAACCACCCAGAGAAAACATTATTCTAATCCCCATACTGGAAACATGTGCCTTGTATACCGCTTCCCCCCTAAAAAATACATTTGTTCATGGATCAATGTTCAATTTACGACTCATTTCGAGTTGGGAGCAATTTAAAAATGTGTATCTACCCCCTTTTCAGGGTTATGGTCTATACCCTGTGTATAAACTGCCGACAAATTTCCGAAACTAAACAGGAAAGAGCGCATGTAAAGTTATCGCTCCTCCCTGTCGGGCATGCGATTCGTCATTATCATGGCATGCTCCACTTGCTCAGGCAGAGCTGGCGATCCACGGGGGCCCGAAGGACGGAGCGTTAACTTTACCGGAGCTTTTTCCTGTTTAGTTTCGGTTTGATGCCATTTACCAAAGTGACATTTCTCAACCCCGTAGCACCTGCTAGGAAGTTTTTTATCCAAATTTGACGACATGTCTAGACCATATTGTGGTCGGTCTTCAATCCTCTAAATACATTATGTGCCCTAGAGCGAAAAATAAAAAAAGTTAGTTAAAACATTTTAGTAAATGAGGTAACTAATTACCTAATTTCACCTTTTTTCTAGAGGCTGCCATGTCCATCAACACTTCCCCAGGGCTTAAATTACTCTATCTCACGTTACCTCTTTTTGAAAATTTGGTGCAGCTAAAAAAAAAACACCCTGTATGTGATATAAGCTTCGCTGTGAGCTAATAAAGCGGGTGTTTGTCAAGGTGCACCCTGTACAAGAATTTTTTCTTTTTTATGCGGACTATGCACTGGGTGCAGATTATCTAAGAAAATGCTTTTTTTTTATCTGAAATTTGCTTTTGTACGGAAAATATGACATGATGTGCATAGATGACAGTTGCTATTTTAATCAGATTGCACAGAACACTACAGTTCCTGCAGTGCTGCATGGCAGAATAGCTAAATTCAATGACCCAAAATGATTTTCGAGGGTTGACCATGTGGTGAAATGATTGCCCACCCCTTGCAAGGTAGCTTGCCGAGAAGGCAGCGCAAAACATACTGCAGCACTCAGACCAGTGAAATACCGATTATAAAGCTCCCTTTGGGGTGCATTCACACAATTGTGTTTTTTTCCGAGGAGAAAGTTCAACGAAATCAAGATTTGAGGCCCCAAGCACAACGTCACGGCTGTTCGCTAATCTTTCGAGCCTGCGGGAAATCACAGAAAATCTATGACCGTCTCGCAGGACTCTGTTGTCTTGTCAGCTGTCCCCGCCCCTTTTGAGCAATGAGGTGCCTTTTTTTTTTCCCCACCTTCTGTTCGATGAACCCCAAAGGTGGCAAACATGTTCACGAAAAGGTACACTCCACCGACTTGTATGCGCGCAACATGGTCGTGCGACCGCCGGCTCAGACTTTGCGCTCGGGCGATGGAAATCGAGATTTGCAAGGTGCTCCTACGTCCGATGGCGAGAGGATTGCACCGAATCGGACGACATTCGCCGGTGGCGACGGCGACAGAAAAAATCGGCGGCGGGACTGTTTTTAGTGTTTAGTTCTGAAGTAATTGTTCGTCTCGCGGTGGCGGACCCGCTAAGCCTAATGAACGAAGCGACGCTGCGCAGTTTCTCTTCAATGGGTTTCGTGAAAGTTTTTGAGGAATTTCCACGTTCAGTAAGAACACGTTATCAAATAAAGAGAGTACTGATTCAATGTGGTTCGCATTACAGGGCGATACGTCTACGTGTCTAATGGGCGATGCTTGTACGACACTCCACCGACAGAAAAATAGCGTTCATTTAGTATTTAATGTTCGCCTGTTCTGCCGTGCGCACGACTGCAATGGTATCGCAATCACTGCCAGATACACGACGAGTTGACGCATACTTCCAAACTCTGCCAAAAGTTCCGTTTTCCAAAGATCAAAGTCCATGCTACAGACTGTTCTTTGTTTTTTTTTTTCAACACGCTTCTAAACGGTACAATTTAACCTATCAAGGTCATCATGCTACGAAAGTACATTGTGCTCAGTATGGCGCCCGTGCATTCACGAGGGCACCTATCAAACTGCTCTGCCATTTTGGCCGCGAGGCGGCTATGCAGTTGCTTCACCTCGGACAAAATCACAGGGTCGTGTCGTCGCGGGGTCGATAGGGATATCGAATTCTGCTCCCGACGTGCCGCTTTCTCTCCTAGACATTGGATGGCGCTGCAGGCACCCCAGTCTGGGCGAGGAAAAACCTCCTCGCCCGTCGATCGATATAGTCGGGAAACCGGAAGGCAAAAAGCCTTTAGTACTCCGGAAGGCACCGAAAACAGGCAAGTGTGTGCGACCGGATCTAGGGTAATCGCGGGACACGAGGCCTGGAGGAGCCCTCTTTGTGTTTAACTCGGACTTTATGGGCGTTTGTAAATATTTGTGTAATGTCGCGGGTATTTGTAGTTAAGATTAAGTGTTTTGTAGCGTTGTGTTTTATTGTACCAATGAACGAGGAGCGGAATCCCGCTCCCATGAAAGAACCAGGCTGGACTCGGGTTGTTGACGGACCACGTGGAAAACGGCGAATCGGTGGCGGTACGCGAATTCCTACATCCATCATCAATCATATGCTGTAGAAGTTTTTTTCTTATATCTATCATAAATGTAAAGGAGTCATACTCCGTCGCCGCTCCGAGGACGTCGGAGCGCTCAAATCCCAGCACTTGAAATTGGCTAAAAAACATCCCGGGTAACTCCACTGGCGAGGAGGAAGTGCTCCACTGAACCTAGGTAATAGGGAAAAAGTAACCACCTGAAGTCCCCGATAGATTCATACCTTCAGATTTTCACCAACTGATAATGCACCTTTCCCGTCTTCTTCAAGCTGCCCCCACCACGCTTTTCTTCCAGAGCGCACATGGGGACAAGCTAGCATACTTTGGCTGGAATTCATTTACGTTTACAAATAAACCAGAATAATAGTTTATTTTTCTATCGAGGTGCAGGGCCCGTGTGCATCATTCTGCATTCCTCCTAGACACAGGAACTGGTTTTCACTGAATTTTCTTTCTACTTCTAATTATTAAAAAAAGAGTGATGTGCTGAGAATCTTAGCATTATAGCAAAATAAAACCTCTAGGCAAAAGAGGAACATAACCTCTTTGGCTTAGCACTCGTGGCACTGACAGCACACAAACACGCGGAGATATTGCAATTATTGTGCGACATGCAACACTACCGCTCGCATCGCTTAGGAGTTTACATCTGGCGTCGGAACAATTGACGACACGATAATAACAACTTGAAAGGTATTTGTAGAGTCAATGATCCAAAATGTCCAATGCTAACACTTGCGAGCCAATTGTGACGTGCGATCGGTGCACGTTTCCGGGTGAATACTACGACCCGAATGTGCAAACCTCCAGACCTCCAACAAAAATGGTTTTGTAACACGCTTCAATATGCAAGCACTGAAGATCTACGACAAAGCAATGCCAACCGAGGAAATCGGCGCATAAGTCCATGCTAGTTTACCCCAAGGACAATTAACTGCTAAAGTGGGAGTGCTGGTATAGGTATGTCGCAACTGTGCACAATTGGTCTAAAAAGAAATGCGACTTGTCCCATGCACTCTATACATTAACTCGTACAAACAAATCAGTGCGCCCCTGTCAGCGCCTTGCACATGTGATGTAGTGCGGACAAGGTTGCGGCATCCATTGTTATCAACGGCAATATCACTACAATCGGTTCAAAACCGTCCCGCACGACTCATACTTCAAAAAACTATCACCATACATTTAGCATGGCAGCAACGAAAATTTTTTTGGGTTCACCCGACCTCTCATTCCGCACACAAGTATTGCGCGTGCGCCTACTTCGCAAGATCTATCATCAAGCCCAACGTTGCATCGGCTTATCTTAACGCAACCATCTTATGTCTCATGCCGTCTCGATCATCATTCTATAAACTAGGTGTCCCCCACTGTCGGCCATCACATTTCTATCCGTCTATTTCACCCCCAACATCGCCGGATTAAAAGCATCTCCCCGCACCCATCGTCGGCATTCCTGAGAGTGCAGAATTTAAGGATGTAATTTCTGATTTTGTTTCGTGTTCCGATTAACTATGTTGGCTTTTTTGCGTTCATTTAACTAGTGTTTGCTTTCATATGTGGTATTCAATCTAGCCCACACCCCTTTGTAATGCCTTCGGACCCCGAGGAAATAAATAAATAAACAAACCCTCGGAACTAGATGGGGTTAACATCCGTCCGAGTCCGAGTGCTCTTTATTACGTAAGAATTGTTCATTCTCTGTCTTCCTAGCAACATCTGACGACTCTCGGGGCCTCGGCCAAATGGACAGGGCTCGTCATGCGACGAAACTTCACACGAATGATGGAACGTACGGTGATTCACCTGTGTGAATGTCGCACAACGGGCGCTAAATCCTGATTTAGACGATGAAATCTTCCTCCGACGTTTTCACTCACGAACTGGCTCGCGTCGTAACGAAACAGAGATGGCAGTACAAATTGCCACCGCTAAAATATGCACATGGAATCGCATCGTGCCAATTAGGCATAACTAGTCGGCTGTTGTCACCAGATACGAGGCTCAATGTCCCCTTGTATCCATTGTTTACAGCGAGCTGATTTAAGCCACACACCCTCTACAAGTCAACAAATATTTAGAGGCCCACAAGTAGTTCGTAACACAAAAGGGCTTTCTTCGCAATTGCTCGGTGCTCTCTAACGACGAACCGGGAAATATCTTTTGATGACCTTCAAAAAAAAAAGTTTAACCGACTATTGTGCCTATATTGTTGTTGCGAACGAAGGTTTAGCGAAATTAAGGTGTGTTGCAATCGAAACACGATCGCGGCTCCCACTATTTTGACTGCCAAAACCTTAGAGTATGAACCATTGAAAACAGCGGACAACTTCATTCGCTACAGCCACGCACACTCAAAGGGAACCCCGGAAAATGCTCATTACCACGATGACGGCGCATCGACCATCGGCACAATGCGTGGGCCCTCGATGTCTGAGCAGAAAGAAGCTCAGAACATAGACCAAATGGTCCAGCCCTCTCGACGGCATTCCCGCCCTCACTTTTGAACGATACAAATAAATCTTACATGAGTCGTCGCGAAATCGCCCGTAGCAAGACGCTTCCCGCAGGGGCAGCCACAGTTCGACGGCACCCGGTTTTTATTTTTATGCAGCAGATCCACACTCCCGGGCACGCCGGACAGGCAAGAAACGTGCGTAATTGATCTCGACACTTCCCCAGCTCTCTCGGTGCAGCCGCAGCCTACAAAACTCCGCGGCACTTTGAGAAGAAGACAGGTTTCTGCCAGTTTCACCATTGCAATGCCTCATCACATGGCGCCTCTTGCCCAGACTCCAGGCCGGAAGTGCATCTCAAGTGCGAATGCCATAGCGGGACGTAAGAAAGCCGGGTCGGAGTATGGCGTTCACTCCTATGAACACATACAACTGCTCCATAAAGAAAAGCGACCCCTCGTCACACAATCCGTAAAGAGTCGACAATGCAGCAAAACTCGGTAAACAATTTTTCTACAACTGTAACCGAGAACAGCGGCGCGTGTCTTTGGACAGTCCGTCCTCCAGCATGCACTATATGCCTTCCACTATGCTTGAGCAGTCTGCACACGAGATGCACGCGACATTGAAGCATTGTCGAAGGTAGGAAGCCTCGTCAACAACTATAGAGGGCTCACAATAAAGGCCTTGCATAAGCCAAAATGTCACGCGAGCCACCGCGGAATAGCCAAGAAAGGATTTGCTGCATGTGGGGCAAGCTATTGGGGAGGAGGACAGACCGTGACGCCCCAAGCGGTTAACCTAACAACTACACGGATGGGGACAACAAATATAATGACGCAGCGTTCAGCCGACATAACCGAACGCGGCGTCAGCGTTCGGCTGGAGTTCGTGTTCTCCGGCGAGGGGGAGGAGGGGCTCTGTTGTTTCCACTCGGCCTGCATGAACAATGCAGCATGCACGATCCCAGCTCATCACAAAAGCCGAAGTGGGTCAAGCTCGCATTCTCTGAGGATAGATCCGGCACTTAACGTCGCTTCGTCGATTGTTAGTATTGTTTGCATTAAACTGCGCCCCGCGCTCTATTGTAGAAGATGACATGGCCATGCTCATAAGGCCTGTCGGCATGTGCACAGGCCTTGTGTTGAGTAAACACCAAGCGTGGGGAAAACAAACGGGTCAGAGCACCCCCTATAGTTCGATCTCCTGCCCAATACTTTGATCTTGGAACCGTTAACCGTCACGGTAGCGATGTAGGCAAAATATAAATGGTTGCGCGTGTTCCACCACCCTCCATACCCCACCTGGGGAAAGGATCCCAAAATATCCAAAAGGTCAACTACCCTTTAGAGTGCCAAGCTGCTGGTCAAATGACACCTATCGCTGGAAATCAGGTTTCTCTTTCTGCTACCAGCCCATGTCCGTCGGCGCCTTGTACGTCAACATCGTACAAGCCGCGTCCCTACTCGACCGAAGAGACGCGTAGAGATTTTGAGAGAAAAAAGCAGCTTTCAACCTTCCAGGTCGTCGTCGGCCATTTTCTCCAACTTGTCGATCTCGGCGTCGAGCATCTCCTCCGCAATCTTGGCACTCTCCATCAGCTGCCGCTCCAGCGCTGCTTGAATGTTTGCCGCCATCTGTAAAGGCCGATTTTACCGTACGTTTCGTCATCTGTTGGTTTGCTCGGTAAGGGACAGCACACGACCCTCGCAAACTTATACACCTACGCCGATCTGTCAGAACATTACTTTAGCCAAACTATTATAATGTCGCGTAACTAGTGGACTTATCATGTAATTGCTGTGCGACAGCACGAGTTCAGTAATGATTTAAACCTCTCGCACGAAAGAAACGTCGAAAGCACGCAGGCGTTTCTTCGAAACAAGGCGTGGGTGAGGAGCGGTAACGCAGATGTGAACAAGACCCCAGATCGCAGACGCAACGACGACTTAACTGCCATAGTAATGGTATGAATGGTGGTATGACACTGTTATATTACTGAGGGGAGAGAAGTGATCTCATACCTTTCGTTCTTTTTGCCTGAAAAGAAACACCGCTTCCACTGACAGAACCCGAACGACCACAGACGGACGCAAAAAACAGGATGGTGGCAGGCGATAGCGATTGACTTTCTGAAGTGGTTCGAGCTTTTTGTAGATCAGTGATCGTGAGCTTGTTTCCGTTTTAAAAGCATTGGGGTATAGATTTATTACAAGCGTATTGAGTTATTACAATGTACCATTGACGTTCACCTAGAAATTGAAGCAGACAGCGCAGACCGCGCAGACAGCAACCAGTCGAAAATTTACTTTCGGTGCTTCCGGTACACCGCCAGCCGCCATGACAGGGAGCAGTGAACACTTCCGTTTCGGAACACTGTAGTTTCGGGTTTTGTTTGCATGTTCGTGTGTTCGGCAAGGTGTTCGGTCTTTTCTTATGCTTTTCCGCGTCCACCGGCTCCCTGAAGTGCTGCAGTGTTCTGCAATTGACTGAGCAGCATGTGGAATCAAAGATGCACACATCGGACTATTCCGGAGAGCAAAGGAACTTGATCAGAAGACATAGAGATCATACATACTAAGTCTAGAGGAAAAGGTCCGCCATTTTCCCATGCATTCTGGCTGCCGCAAGCGGCGGAGTATGCAGGCAGACCCTCGGGGTCCCACATGGTTACCAACTGCCTTCGATTTCACAAATATATCACCAGAGCAGTGTCATGAACTTCAACAATCCACGAACTTACCGGTGGAAAGATATTCGCGTTCCTTTCGAAGCTTTCTTTTTGCATAGCGCGCGCATGTACGGCCTCGAGTCAACGCTAAACTAAACCAGATACCCGGCTTCGCCGGTGGGGCGCGGTTGAGGAATACGAAACCGCGCAACCACCCGATTTCGGAGTTTTGACAGAAGGGAAGTTAATGCAGCGTAATGACTATATTGCTTTTTATAAGCTTTAGAATAGCTCAGAATTTAGTTTACAACGTTAAATTATCACTGTTTATATTGCTGAGAGTTTTCACTCTTCGCGTTTACCATTGCGACTGTCGCCCTTCAGCTGGCAATATCGGTTTCTTTCTCTCGTGTTCTGTCGCTCTCTTTCGCGATCGTTCACTCGGGACCCAGGATATCGGCGCACAGGACTTGCCACTCCTCCTTACCCACCTTTACCCCCCTGTCAGAAGAGGTCTATGAGACCTCTTCCAAGACCGACGCGCCCCATCGCGGAGAAATACCACGCAGTACACTCTAGGAACTGGTTGGCCACTCAGTTTCGGTTTCGACTGAGCAGCTTTCACCTTACGCTATCACGCCGCGACCGAACGCGCTGCTTGCGTTTTTGACTATCTGACTTTTCACGAATGTACTTGCAATAGACTCATTCTCGAGCGATACAAAAACGAAGACCGGGGCACTTTCCTTGGTTCCCGAAACACCGGATATTGTGCGTGCGTATGCAAACGTAGTAAATACAAAACTTGAAAGTATAAAACAGAGAGGACGAGGACGAGAACAGGACATCTTTCATTTAGCAACAACATAGAATGGCACAACGATAAAAAACCGCCCCCAAGGGTCTCAGCGTTCTCAAAGAGGGAAAGGAGATACTAGTTATGAAGGAAAGGGAATACACTAAAAGAAAAGTTTGAAAAGCGCATCAGTAATCAAGTTATTTTCGATTAGTTAGAATTAAACTTGGTCATTGTCAGTGATAATGCAGAATTATTCTTGTTTGCAGTCCAAAAAGGGAATTGTACTATAAATATAAGAGTCTAAAAATCTGTAGCGTCACGACGAGGTGTCAATATTCTAGTTATCTCTGGTGTTAAGAATTCGACCTCTGTCTTTGTCAATGATAATGACGGTGCAGAAATGTTGTTGTTAACAGTCCCCATGGCAAATGACTCGATGATTTCTCTCCCAAATCTGTTGTTGTGCCCTCCCAGTATCTTAGTATTAGAAAAATGAGGAGTACAGTCATCGCATGTGCGGCTGTGAACGACAATGGGGTGATACGACTCGGTCGAAGCCTTTGATGCTTCCAAGTTATGTTCTCTGAGTCGGTGGTTGACGCATCTCCCAGTCTGTCCAATGTACTGACTGCCACAACTTAGTGGAATCGAATACACCTTCCTTTCTTCGCATTCTACGAACTTTTTTGCATGTTTTACATTGCACCCTCGGGGACTGTCGCTCCCATTAACCTTTTTGCACATCTGTTTGAGGCGCATACGACAAGAAAAAACCACACTCGTGTCGAACTTGGACGCAATAGACCTTAGACGGTGCGCGGAATTGTGCATGTAGGGAATCACAGCGAAACGACCTTTCTTTTTTAAAACAACTTGCGGAAGTTGTGGTTGGATAATGAACCTCTCAAGGGTGGAGTGAAGTAGGTCAGCAGGAAAGCCTGCTTTTTCTAACCTCTGCTGCTGCAACTTGAGGCTACTTTCGGAGAAATGCGTGCATGACTTGGAGAATGAGGACTTGAAAAGTGACCTTACTATTCCATGCTTAACGGACTTGGAGTGAGCACTCTGTCTATGCTGGAAAAAGCGATGAAGAAACTTCATCGTGACGTCGCCGGTGGGAGGAGCCTAATCTCAATCGGCGGCGAACTCAACTGGCAGGGAACTTCATCGCGGCGCGTTGATGACGTCGACGGAGAGTGGCGATTGAGTTGAAACTTCATCGGGATTTGTCCCCACAATATGTCCCTAGAGGGAAATGCGCAACGCCGCATCGAAGGGTCTGGTAAAAGCAACATTTTTAACTTCTGAAAATGTATAATGCGGTACAATCTAAATATAATTACCGGTATCAAGTCTAGGTCGCATGAATCATGTATTTTTACGTAAGTGAAACAATTTAGATGATCGCAATGCGTGAGCTGCATCGCGATCGTGATGAATCGTCATGGCCGGCGGTGGATTTCGCACGTAAGGTGCTCGTGTGTCTGTACGAAGATTTGCCTCACTTTTAGCATTTTTGCTGTCAAGTCGGGCTTTTTCACGTCGCGATTACCACTCGGCAGTCTGGTGGGGGACGTGAACCAAGTGTCCTCGCTGAACTCGAGGAGGAGGACAGAATCTTGGCCCATATGAGAAAGGTTCCTCGCAAAAACACGGAAGAAGGCGCACGATTTCGAGGGCGGCATCTCGGCTGCAGTGTCGGTAAGTGCATGGCATCTCAATGGGCGGTTTTAGCGTACCGTTGCCGTGCGCAGCGAAATTGCTACTGGGAGCTCGCGCTGTAACTTTGAAGCATGCTTTTCAGCGCGCTTAAAGCCTTACCAGCCGTACCGTGGCCACGGCAGAACAAGATAACGGTCTCCTAAAACTTGCTACTTGTAGTAAACAGACACCGTGTTGTTTTTGGTCTTATTGACTTTGCACGAGTGTGCTGCCTCGTGATGTTTCTTTGAAAGCTCGGATCGCAGCGCTCAAGCTGCCGAGTTAATTTCTCTAGAGCTGTGCATGAGGCACTCCGATACCTGAATTCTAAAGTGTAGGCAATGGGCATTACATGAACGCGGAACCAGAAAGGCTGCCAATTTGTTGTGCGTTAACTTGTGTTTGATTGAATGATGCAGGACTCATCTGCTGTGGCCAAAGGTGCTAGTGAGGACCCAGCACAGATGGCAGCTCCACCACCACCAAATGGTAGGTATAAAAAAGTCTGGATTCATCTCCATAATACGTGGTTTGCGCCTGTGTCAGGACATGTATTATGCATGAGTGCCGTTGGTAGCCTCATGCTGGTGGCCATTGATGTTGTGGGGTTGCAGCTTTGCTACACTGTGATCATGGTGAACTGCACTGGCTCCAGTGGCCCAAAGTGACAGCTTTTGTACCCATCTCAGCAATTGCACAAAAATGTGAACATGACCTGCACTGTGCATAGCTATGTAGAAGATGCTGTCATTAACATATTGTGCCTGGTCGGTAGCTCCCAAGGTGACTGTAGGTCCAACCGTGTCGATGTTTCTAGCAAGGTGACACCTCAGCAAGACTTACAAAAACTTAAGTGTACACATGGTGCGGAGACAATCCACACATGGTTACTTGAGTTTTGTGTCGGACAAGACACAGATCCAATTAATGAGACTGTCAGGAAAAAGACGGTGCCTCCGGTCTTGTTTCCCAACAGCAACCTGCTTCCACCGAACATTCCCGGTAGCACCACATCTACCCACTGCCCTGAAATTGACAAGGGAATGACACTAAGACAAAACTGGCTCACGAATTCCAAAACCGGTGTCTGCTATTTATATAAAAGGTCCACTTCTAAAAATATTTGCAGCAAAGGGCTGTGGAAGCAGGACGCACCTGGCTGGGCATTGCCTGTCAAACTCGGCAAAATCATCGGCGTGCAGTTTTGTATACTTCTCTTCATTTTTTGCACTCAGGTATTCACGTCCTCCACCTTTGGCTAGATATCACAATCTGTCACAGTTGAGAGTAACTAGCAGATGGTTCTCGCCACCACACAGAGCAATATTTTCTGCATACTGAACTGGACAAACACGTACAAACTTTGTCATCATCACTTGACGGTTTAAACTTCTGCCTAGGCTTAGCCCAAGTACCTGCACTAGCACATATTTCCCCGCACGTCTCCGAGCAAGCGCGCCCATGGCCGAATGGTTCTCGTACTTGGTTCCCACACAAAGGGCCAAGGTTCGATTTCTGGCCGCGCATGCACCTTTTTGTTAATGTCCCGCACATCCACCAAAATTTCACGAATGACAGATGGTCAGGTGACGAATGAACAGAAACTAAACGCTTAATTTGGCAAACTTGTGCCGAAAACAAAAATACGAAGAGGTAGCATCACAGGCATCGAAGGTCGGCGGAGTAGCACGATCGAGCGCAAGAGCGAGACTCTCTCTGTATCGCCACGCAGAGCCCCTCATGTGTATGCGTGGACTTCTGGAACAATCGGCATAGAAAGTTCGGTGCATAGAACATTCTGACTTTGAACAAGCAATGGGATTCTTGAATTAAACCAGAATGCAACATTTACAGAAATAACAAAAAGGTGCATGTGCGGCCAGGCATCATACCTCAGCCCTTTGTGTGCAAGCTAAGCACAATAACCATTCGGCCACGGGCAAGCTTGCTCGGAGACGTGCATGGCAATATGAGCAGCCTCTGCCATT